TATCCAAAAGGCTAAGAACAAGTGCTGGGGAGGACATGAACTTGCACATTGTTGGTACGAGTGCAAATTAGTAAATCCATGATAGGAACAGCATCACTGCTCCTCAAAGATTCTAGAAGTAGCAGTGACCATTTGTGTGACAGTGCCCCCCCGGAATGCCCACATCCCATGGCAGGACAGAATGCCTTTCCTGTTGCTTCGCTTCCTTCTAGTCTCATTTCCTGCTAGTGTGCACCCCGAGAAGTAGTAGGTGATGTAAGAGTGGTAGATTCAAGCATATGCATCCCTACCATGCTCCAGCTGGAACTTGTGGCTCCTGGCTTCCACTCGGCCCCGCCGTCCTGTGCAGGCATTTGTGGAACGAATCCATGGAGGAACTTTCAAGTAAATTTTAAAAGTTTTTCAAAATAGCTAAAAATGGAATTATTGTATGATCTACAGGAAATTAAACACATCTGCCAAAGATACCTCCTGTGTTTATTTCAGTACTATGATTTTCATTAACTTATGTGTGCCCGTTGGCTGATGAATTGGTAAAATCTTGGGACATTAATACAGTGAAATCCTTGTCAGCCATCAAAGGTTGATGTATTATTGTTTAACAGCATAGATGGAACTATAGGTCATTTTGAGTGAAATCAGCTAAGCGCAGAAAAACTAGCACATGATCTCCTTCAAATGTATAATCTAAGAAGTTGAAATGTCACAGGAGCTAAGTGTACACGGCATTCAGCAGAGGGTACAGACAAGGGAAGGGATGGGGAAGGTAGATTAACAGATAACTCGAACACAAAGTGATGCAGCTTGGCCTTTCTGAACTATAACCTGAAAGAAAACAAGTAGACAGAGGTATAGGAAATGTTCCTGTAGAGGTGCCCAACCTTCGCCTTCTATCATAAATACGCTGTTATAAAACAGAAGGACCAAAGTAGCAAGAAGTGCACATGAAAGTCAATAACCAAGAACCAGAAACGTCCATCAAATACAGACCTGGAGTGGCAGCTAGAAGAGGAACAAAACACACTGGCAACCACAATCCTAGCCCCGGCTGTAGCAGAACAAAGGGTCAGCAGCACTCCAGTCAGTCCCATCTCAAGGGATACTGGGCACCGGCCTTCTTTGTTACAGTATGGTCCACAGCTGTCACAGGCTCAGAGCCAGCAATAGAAGCTTCCTGAGCATGTCCATATGGTAATTTAGCTTCTGAGAAGGAGCTTGCTGCCTCCCACACCCAACCCCTGGAGCACAGGCCACAGCAAATGATGCTTTCCTGAGCAGACCATCACTGTTGAAGTTCATTCTGCTGTAGGAGACAGTAATCCTGCAAACCTGCCCCACCCCATCCTGGGACCTCCCAAGCGTTTGGACACACCAGCAAACAAGGATGCCAAAAAAAAAAAAAAAAAAAAAAAAACAAAGTCATTGGGGGAAAAAAATCAGTAAGGAAATGCAAAACTTTGAGCTATTAGCAAATACGGAAATATCTGAACTAACGGGATACTACTAAGGGAATTTCACATCAATAAGCAACTACATCAAACAAGAGATAGTAAATAAACAGGTAGTGTGCATCTCTAGAGCTCAGAGAAACAGCAGGCCAAATCCAAGGTCAGCAGAAGGAAAGAACAACAGTAAGAGGACAGTAACAAGCGAAATAAATTAGGCAGGAATAAAATTCCAAAAAAATCGAAGAGATGGATTTTTTTTTTTTTTTTTTTTTAAAGATTTATTTTTATTATTTTTTCATTGGAAAGGCGGATATACAGAGAGGAGAGACAGAGAGGAAGATCTTCCGTCCGATGATTCACTCCCCAAGTGAGCGCAACGGGCCGATACTATGCCGATCCGAAGCCAGGAGCCTCTTCCGGGTCTCCCACGCGGGTGCAGGTTCCCAAAGCTTTGGGCCGTCCTCGACTGCTTTCCCAGGCCACAGGCAGGGAGCTGGAAGGGAAGCGGGGCTGCCGGGATTAGAACCGGCGCCCATATGGGATCCCGGGCGTGCTAGGCGAGGACTTAGCCACTTGCGCCACCGCGCCGGGCCCCGAAGAGATGGATTTTTGAAAAGATGAACCATACACTTGATACACTAAGAAAAAAAGACATCAGATATTTTCATTAAGATGAAACAGAGGTGTGTCAGGTGATACCACAGGAAAAAAAAAAGATTAGGGCCACTGTGAGCACAATTATATGCCAGAAAAATATAAAATATAATAAATGTATATACAAGAAAGAAAGTTTCCAAAAATTGAACCACGAAGACACAGAAAGCCTGAACAGACTGAAAATGATGGAAATGATTCAAATAGTAATCATTTTTTTTAAAAAAAAAAAAAAAGGCCTTTCTTCATAGAAAATGACATGATGCTGAGTCCTAAGCATTTGAAGAGGAGCTAGCAACAATTCTGAAACTCTTCCAGAAAATTGATATAGAGGGAACCCTTTCATACTCATTTTGTAAGGGCAACTTCACCTTACTTTCAAAACCAGGAAAGGACGCAGCGCAAAGAACCACCACATCCCTGATTGGAGTAGTCATTTTTGGAGTAGTCAAAAAAAAAAAATACTCTGAACACTAGCAAATTCTGCAACACACCAAGAGGACCTCATATTACAGTGCAGTGAGATTTGTCACAGGGATGAGTCAACAGTCACAAATATAAGTGAAGGGTTCGGTAGACATAACAAGGCTTGGCAAAATCCAACAGTCATGCTGAAAACCTTGAATGACATAAGGGGACAGGAGGAATGCATGTCAACGTAACACAGGCTACAGCTAACAAATCCACAGCCAGCCACTTATTTAATGGGCAAACCCAAATGGAGTCACTGGCTCCTGGCTTTGGGTTAGCTCAGCCCTTGTTTTTGCTGGCATTTGAAGAGTGAAGGAGAGGATGGGAGGCCAGTAACTCTGCCTTTTGAGCAAATAACATCTTCTTAAATTAAATAAGATTAGAAATCCCGATATAAAAAGCACCTTGGAATAAAGTTAAATATGTGGAAGATCTTTTACAACAAGTTTCAAAAACACTAATAAAAGAAACCGAAGAAGACAAAAACATGGAAAGCCAGGGGAAAATGACATTAAAATTGTTAAGTTTCTCTAAAGATTTTGAGGTTATGATTGCATAAAGACAATGGGCAGCTATTACTAAAATGTCCATAATATGAGCAAGTATTTAGCCTAATGGTTAGGATGCTTCTGTCCCACACTGTAGAACCTGGATTCAATTCCTGGCTCTGGCTTTGGCTCCAGACTCCAGGTTTCAGCTAATAGAGACTGAGAGACAGTGGTGACGACTCAAATAACTGTGTGTCTGCCAGACTCGTGGGAGAGCTGGATCGCATTTCTGGCTCCCAGCTTTGGATATAAGCCTGGTCCACCAAGGTCATTGCAGGCAAAAGGGAGTGACCCAGGAGATGGGAGTTGTTTATCTGTCTCTCCAATAAATAACAACATAAGCTGTCCATATCACTTTAAGCAATTTACAGATTCAGTGCAGTCCCCAACAGAATACCACAATGACCTTGAGAAAACTGGAAGGGAAGAATGACCAGGAGAAAACAGGTTTTCCATCTCCTGGATTACTTCTCAAAAGACTGCATGAACCAGGCAAAAGCTAGGAGCCAGAATCTCCATCCAGGTCTCCCCCATGGTTGTCAGCTGTCCAGGTACTTCATCCACAGTCTTCCCAGACACATTAAGAGGAAGCTTGAATTAGAAGCAGAATAACTGGGACTCAAATGGCCAATGCTGGCATCATTAGCCATAGGTCCCACTGTGCCACAAGACCTGCCTCAAGGAAAAAAAAAATCTTAAAAAGTGCATGGTAACATAAAAGATCCAGAAGTAGACATTTTTAATAAAAAGAACCAAGCTGGAGCTACCACCATTCCAGACAGCTGTTATCACCAAAACGGCATAGTACTGGCTTCAAAGCATACATGACTGGAACATCAGCATCCCCATTCCTAAGTCCTCACTTCTACTATTATCAACAACAGTGCCAAAAATGTATTAGAGAAAGAACAGTCTTATAAACTGTTGGTAGGAATATGAATTCCTATGGAAAGCCATGTGCCGGTGCCTGGGAAAGCCAAAATAGCTGTCCCGCTGCTGGTGTTATGTCCTACAGAAGTGAGATGAACCTATGAAAGAGACCCTTGCATTGCCATATCCATTGTAGCACTATTCAAATAGCCAAGACACAGAATCAACCTAGGTGTCTATGAGGAATGAATTAAACAGGCCACTCTGGACACTTTCAGTGTGAAAAATGAAATCTTCGTGTTTGCAGAAAAGTGAATGGGAGTGGAGGTTATCAAAAGCCACTCATAGAAAGACAAATATGCTCTCCCTGATGTGTAGTTTAATGAGCTTTTACCAGAGATTACCAGAGGCAGGGATGGGTGGGAGATGCACAGAAGTTAGGTATCAGGTTCCAAAATACAATGAAATCTTAATACAAACTCCTGGTGCTCCGTGGTACCGTGGGTGACTGTTCATAGTAATTTATCACCTGCTGTATAAAGAATTGCAAAAGAGGAACCAATAGACTTTGCAAGTGCAAAAACCAAGGAAAAGAAATGACTGGGCACCTGGTTGGACCAGTTTGTACTGTATGCATGTATGGTAATACTGCATTTTTCCCTATAAGGAAGCTCATGTATTAAGTTAGTCAAAAAAAAAAAATACAGCCATTTGAAAAATAAGCAGCATAAATAAATTTGTGTCTTTTGCATATTCCATATTGCTCTTGGCCCTCTGAACACCAACAGCCCTACATCACAAAGCCCTTACATGACATTAACTAGAAATAGACAACCAGCAGTGTACACGCATGTTGTTGAGTCATTGGTTTATTGTCTCCTGGTTAGTGCTATGTGCAGGGGCAGCAGGGGGGTCCCAGCACACCCCAAACCTAAAGCCCCCGAGAAAGTGAAGAGTAAGGTAAGCTCTGGTGCACGGCTTCACTCACCTCTGCCTCTTTCCCTTGCAGATTCTGAGCTTGCCTTGATGTACAATGACTCCTCTGTCTTGGAGAACCATCATTTAGCTGTGGGCTTCAAGTTGCTTCAGGAAGAAAACTGTGACATTTTCCAGAACTTAACCAAAAAGCAAAGACAATCTTTAAGGAAAATGGTCATTGACATTGTAAGTGATTGACAGAAGTAAAAGAAAAACGTGATACTAGTTTTTCTTTTTTCCTTTTAAACGTAAGAATGAGATGAATGTCAGATCATTGGAAAGGCACTTCCAGACCCAGAGCCCTATACGTTCTAGAATCTGCCGGCAGTGACGTTCTGAATTACTTTTTTCCTCTTCTACCAGTTTGTACTCAGAACTAGTGACAGCCTGGTCCTGTCACTTGCACTTTATGTTCTGGGCTCCTCCCATCTGGCTGCAGGTGAAGATGAGCACAGCTAGTGGGAGAGACTTAGAATACAGAGGAATGATATATGAATGCGAGGAGGGCTCGCCAGCCACATTGGTCTGATAATTACATCTACGCATTCATATACTGCAATATCACACTATGCCCTATGAATGCAGCAAACCCTGTTATGCAGTTGAAAATTAAGAAACAGCAGTTGAGCTGTGGCTCATTCGAGGGAATGGGTACATTTCCCATCTACGTAGAAATAGCCACGGCTTTTGTTTTTTTCTGTTTTCTGACTCTGTTCCTCAGAATGATTGAGACAGAGGAACAATCTCCGGTTTGCAAAACTTAATATGCTGTACACATAAAGGCAGGAATTAGCTGTGAATAAGTAGAAAATTATCCAGAAGAGTGTTTCAACACAGTCGACAACAGTAAACACAGCAAACAACCTTGAGTCAGTCCATAGCAGTTCAGGAGCCATTTTCCAGTCCAAGGAACGGGAAAAATCTAACAACCATGATATCCAGAGGCAAAATGCCTTTCAAATAGAGGCCAGCCTCCAAGTAGAGGCCGTGTCTAGTATTTCTGCACATTTATCTGGGTTTCTGGAAAACAAAAAAGACTGCCCCAAGAAGGAACACAGAATTTCTCCACATTGACTATTCGATGCAGTAATTATTTCTCCATGTCTCATGTTCTGCGTATTTTCATGCAGCCTTCTTTCTCCTGTCTTAATAAAATTATCTATCTCTTAAGGTCCTTGCAACAGATATGTCAAAACACATGAATCTCCTGGCTGATTTGAAAACGATGGTTGAGACTAAGAAAGTTACTAGTTCTGGAGTTCTCCTTCTCGATAACTACTCTGATCGGATTCAGGTAAAGTATCTTAGTTCTCTCTGTCTGGGTGCAGCTTGGAGAACACTGCCATTTCCTCCCACTTCCTGTTTCATGTCATTATTAGTAATTTTTTTGTGCCAGCTCTTCTTCTTTAGAATTAACCAGGTAAAATATTTGAATGTTCTTTTAGAAGTACTGATGACACATAAAACTAGCCTAACCGGCCATAGTGTGAACAGTTTTTCTTACGACGCATAGATGTGGTAAAAGTAGCATAATTTGAACCTATAAATACAAGTGTGAACCACACACAGACACACGCCTGAGCTGTTTGGGAGAAATCTTCTACAGCATGTATTTTTAAGTGTTACAGTCATCCGACGTAAATTTCTGGTTAAAAGTGGAGCAGGTGCTGAGCGGAAAACACCACCCTGTATTATTCTAGGTCCTTCAGAATATGGTGCATTGCGCAGACCTGAGCAACCCCACCAAGCCACTGCAGCTCTACCGTCAGTGGACAGACCGCATCATGGAGGAGTTCTTCCGCCAAGGAGACCGAGAGAGGGAACGTGGCATGGAGATCAGCCCCATGTGTGACAAGCACAACGCATCTGTGGAAAAGTCACAGGTAATGCCACCTCGGAGAGCTCTCGGGATAGAGGCAGCCTCCGCAACCGGTCCCCTGGGATTCAGAACTCCCACTATTTCACTGCGGTTTTAGAGGAATTTTGCTCTGACCAGCTCAGTGTTTGTCGTTACGATCCTCAGACTTTTCTTTGCAGCACATTTGTTTGCACTTGCATCTCGCTGTCATGGGCCTCTGTAAGCAAGATTTCAAAAGGTTTGTTGACATACACAAAAAGACAAGTTTGCTTTTGGTGCCAGAAATTTTGAAACTCATGCCGTTTTTCTTGATAGATTAGCACCACTGTTTTAAAGGACTCCCTCCCCCTTATTCATCCTTAGATTTTTTTGTGTGTGTGACTACACATTAGTTTGGGGAGCTCACGGCATTTCTCAGTTACAAAATTCAGCTACAAAAATGGCTGTTCAGAAATCAGGTGCTTTACCACTCTACCACATGCAAAGTTTGCCCTTTCCCTTTGGAGCCCTGGCTCCTGGCAGCTGATTGTTTACGAAGTGAGACCACCACCGAATAGGATGTGGTCTCAGATACTGACTAATTCGTCAGCCTAAGGTTAGTCGTTCTCTGTTTGAGGGCCGAGCTCTAGTTGTCCCTTCATGCCGGTCTTTGTCCCCAGTCCCCTCATCCCTCCTGCCGTCTGTCTTCTCAGGTGGGCTTCATAGACTACATCGTGCATCCTCTCTGGGAGACGTGGGCAGACCTCGTCCATCCCGACGCCCAGGACATTTTGGACACTTTGGAGGACAATCGTGAATGGTACCAGAGCACAATCCCCCAGAGCCCCTCTCCTGCACCTGATGACCCAGAGGAGGGACGGCAGGGTCAACCCGAGAAATTCCAGTTTGAACTGACCTTAGAGGAGGATGGCGAGTCGGACACCGAGAAGGACAGCGGCAGCCAAGTGGAGGAAGACACTAGTTGCAGTGACTCCAAGACTCTCTGCACCCAAGACTCCGAGTCGACCGAGATCCCCCTGGATGAGCAAGCGGAAGAGGAGGCAGTAGGGGAAGAGGAGAGCCAGCCGGAAGCGTGTGTCATAGACGACTGTTCACCTGACACGTAACAGGACAAAGGCTGTCATGCTTTTTTTTTTTCCTTTCTTTTTTTTTTAAGTAGAAAAGTTTGTTTCCAAAGTGCATGTCACATGCCACAACCATGGTCACACCTCACTGTCATCCGCCAGAACGATTGTTGAACACAACTGACCTTGATGATTCAGTCTGGCGCTCAGGAATATCGTAACCAGTTGCTTCACCTCCATGTTGACAGAGCAACGGGGACACCTTCACGAACAGCATTTTCAGGAGATGTCAGCTTGGCAGAGAGCTGGGCACACGCGGAGAAAATCAACTCCAACACACGTTCGAGGGAGCGTGGCTCAGTGGGCAGCCCTAACGCGGACAGATTGGGGAGTTGTTATGTTGCAATATTTTCAAAAGTAAAACAAAGGCATTACACGGAGCAGACGTTATAGATGAAGCCGCAGATGTCAGGAACAGGACAAAGTACAAATCTGTTACCGCAAGGAAGATGAGCCACAGAAATCACATACTTTTCTAATTTCAAGTCTTCCTGATACATGACTGAATAATAGTGCGGTTCACCGAGCTGCACTCACCTCGACATTTTGTATGATATGTAAAACAGATTTTTTTGTAGAGCTTACTTTTATTATTAAATGTATTGAGGTATTCTATTTAAAAAAAAACAAACTATGTTCAGAACTTCATCTGCCACTGATTATTTTTTTCAAAGAAGTAACTTGCAGGTTTTCAGTACAAATCTGTGCTACACTGGATAAATCTAATTTACAAATTTTCCTTGCACCTTAGAGTTCATAGCAATTAACTGATTTGTAGTGATCCATTGTTTTATATACCAATGACTTCCATATTTTAAAACAGAAGAATAACTTTCTGTTGCAGGAAACCCTTTTTGTAAGTCTTCGTTTGCTTTTTTGTTTCACTCTTGAAGATAAGTGGACTTGCTCTCCACCAACATTCTTCATGGTGTGCAAAGTGAGTCTTTGTTCCGTAATACTTGGGTGTGCGTTATTGTCAAATGTGTCTTAACCCCCATAGAAACTCAGTCATCAGTTGGTGTTGTCTGAAGCAAGTGGGAGATACATAGATACCCAGTAGCTAAAATGGTCAGTCCTTTTTAGATACCTTCCTGCCTAGTGTCTTCTGATAACTTTTGGCTGTGTCAATAGGCGTGCATTTCACACATGCGTGTCTTTATAATAACCCACACATTTCATGCTCACTTCTTTTTTCACAGCCAGCTAGAGTAAGAAAAATGTTTTTGCCTACATGCTGCTTTATTATTTAACATGTGTTTGAGCCTCTGTCCATGTTTGACAGATGGAGTCTTATCAAATATATCACCACCATCTTACTGGTGAAAAGAAACAGGTAGTCAGTTAGGGGTAAGCATTCTGTTCAACCGCAGGGTTGTATACCATGACTAGCTTTTCCTCTTGGGTTAGAGAGAAAAGTTAATATTCTTAAAACTGCCTAGCTAGCTCTTAACAATATATTAACGAACTCTCACTACTACGAATTCTCTTTTGTTTCTGTGATTGCACCGTGTGATTAAGAACTAGACGAGGGTGGCCCGGGAAGCAGTTCTAAGTGTGAGGCAGTTGGGTTTTTTTAATGGAAGCCACGTAGCAAACAGATTGCCTCATTACCTGTCATCCTTCCGTCCACATGTCTCACAGGGTGAGGCAGAGAAGTCGATGATGCCAGTTGTACCAGAGGGTTGCTAAAAGATTTCTGCCTGAGTGGAAAAGCAGAGAACCACTCTCAACTGTATTGCAGGTTTAGAAACAAAGCCTCGTGTTGACCTACTGGTAGCCATTGACATCAAGGTACATTTGTTTAGTTTTGATTTTGCTCCCATTTTAATTCTTGATTATAGCAAAGAGATTTTTGGAGCTCAAAGCAATCACTTCCGCATTGATAGCCAAGAGTTTTGATGAAAGGGGGATGTATAACCAAATCAAAAATGACAGCTCAAGGAGCTTTGTGGGGACTGGTAATAAGGCTGTCAGCCATGGAAGTGACCCAAGCTGAGGACACTATCCCAAGAGCCAGTTGACACTTAAGTTCTCTTAGGTCTCAATTTTAGCATTCTCTCTGCCCTCCATAAAGGTTATAAACAAAAGGCTGTGCCCAGACATTTGGGAACGTGTGCGTGTGTTCCTGATGGAGATCTAACAGGAAAGACAAAATCTTTCCAGAACATCCCATTTCCTACTCCCCTACACTTGGTATTTCCCCCCACAGAGTGCCTAGAATTAAAAAAAAAAAATTTTAAAGTAGCAATATGTCACAAACCAACCTAAACCTGGAAGGGTTTATAACTGCACTAATAGAGGTGTTTTCCCTCTGCTTGTTGGTGTTTAATGGTACCATGTTGTAAACATCCCACCACTGGACAGTTTGTAGAATAGGTCTAATTATCCAAGAGACAGGGACTAATGAATGCACTGTACAATCTGTCGCCCCTCACCAGTTTAGTTTTCTCTTGCCAAGTGTGCTTCATGAACACACACTGCTTTAAAAACAACATCCTTTTACAAGTGGCTTTGCATTTAAGATTCCATAAGAAAATACAATGTCTGGGTACCGTATGGGGAAAAAATGTCCAGGTTTGCCTAAAAGCAACCCATTTCAGCTTGCAAGTTACTGAATACAACGATGCTGTTTTAATTCTTTTTTTTTTTTCTTTTACATCAGTTGAAATCCACAAGAAAAGAATGTAGCTAGAACAAATTAAAAAGTCAAAGAAAGGAAAAACTTGAATGAAAAAAGGGTTTTACAGAAAGCTTTATGGTAATTTCTGAATGCATTATTTATTTTTTTGTGCCATGCATTTTTTTCCCTCACCAAATGACCTTACCTGTAATACAGTCTTGTTTGTCTGTTTACAACCATGTATTTATTGCAATGTACATACTGTAATGTTAGTTGTAAATTATCGGTTCTTATTAAAACATCATCCCGTGCTGGGATGGTGTTGATATATTTGGAAACTCTTGGTGAGAGAATGAATGGTGTGTATACATACTCCTTGTACATGTGCTTTTCTCCTGTAATATAGTCTTGTCACCTTAGAGCTTGTTTATGGAAGATTCAACAAAATTATAAAATACATAAAGATATATACATTTAAAAAACATAGCTGCAGGTCTTTGGTCCCAGGGCTGTGCCTTAACTTTAATATTTTCTTCTGTTTTGCTGCATTTTCAAAGTAAGATAATGGTGGGGCTAAGGCTGGGTATTTTAAATCCACGTTTCTGAATCATTGGATATCTGAAAATACCTGAATAACCCCTGGAAGAATCTACAGTTCTTTTGAGATGAAAGCTCTTAAGCACTCCTTCCCGTGAAACAGTACTACAGATGTGCTTTTCGCCTTTTTGTGGATCAGGAGCTACTTCAATTTTATTTATTTTTTTTTCCTTTCAAACACTAATGGAGAAACATTTGTCCAGTGATGATTAAAAAAAAAAAAAAAAGGCTTCTGGAGCTCAAAAGAAAGTGAACTTGGTTGGAATTTGGAGTCATAGTCACCTGTGCTAGTATCTGTTAGCTTCCTGTCAACAGAATATAAACTATTAAAAAGTTCAGCTTTTAACCATAGAGTTTTTTTTTTTTAAATCAGGGTTGACCAGATTTCCTTGCGTATTTGCGAACAAACCCACTAAACACAGAGTTGGGTGTCATGCCAATTTGCATAGCATAAAAAATTTGGCATTCACTAGCATTTTGTTCACATATGTCTGTTTAAGTTTCATAATTTAACCTTGCACCATGCCCAGCTCCTGAAACACTGAAATATCTCTAATGGGCAACATGGATGTTTTCCCCCCCCTCTGCCCAGCCCATGGAATTTGACTTCATCAGCAAAGGGAGAGATTCTTTTTCTAGGAAATATGAGCCTCTTATTTTATTTTTGACACAAACTGTAGATTTCAGCAGCCCTGGCCCAAAGGAATTTGATTACTTTTGTTTTAAACAGTACAAAGGGGACACTATAAGTACAAAAAAAAAAAAACATCCTTACTAATTTTTGGTTTTTTTATTTCATTTTTTGGATATGTTTTAAGAGTGGTAAATTGTGTGTGAGCATTATAAATGATTCTTTTAGTGGTTTCTTAGCCTCTTACAGCCCATGGGGATAGTACTGTACATCAATACCTTCCTATGAAATTTTTATATGCAACAAAAATAAAAGCATGGGTTGATTCTGCCTATTTATGACTTGGTGTTTTACAAATAAGCATTTTAAATTATAGTTCAGTCGTCCCACATTTCCAAGAGTAACAACATTGTCTAAATGAGAATAACAACGAAATCCTAACTTGTACTGATACACAAAACCAATTGAAATCAAATAAACTAATCTTGCTATATAAAAGTTTCCTCAGGTTACTTGGCATATAACATTAATCAGTGTTGTTTATATAGACTTAGGAAGAACTCTTCTGGCCTCTAAAGCTGGGATTGTGGTACAGTATAAGCTGTTGTGTACACCAGCATGCCCCAGCAGTGTTTGAGTCCAGGATGCTCTGCTTTGAATCCAGCCCTAGCTGTTGCATGCATTTGAGGAGTGAATCAATGGATGGATAGTCTGTCTCCCTGCCTTTCCAATTACAAATATTCCAAAGCATTTTTTTTTTTTGTTAAATGCACCATTTACTATCACATCAAAACTGACTGCACATCAGAAAGATCATTCACCCCGAATAGGATTCATGCCAGGCATGCAAGGTTGGTTGAACACATGCAAATCAATAAACACTGCATCAACACAATGAAGGACAGAAAATTGTGTGATCATTTCAATAGATGCAGAAAAATCATTTGGCAAAATCCAACACTGTCATAATAAAAACGGAACAATATAGTTTTAGAAGGAACATATCCTGACATTACATAAAGGCAGTATATAACAAGTCAACAGCTGAGTGGTTGAAAACCTTAAGACATTCTGTCTTAAAAGGAGAAAGACAAGCATGCCCCCCTCATTGCCACTTCATACCATATTATAGTGAAGTCCAGGCAGAGCAATCAGGTAAGAAATAAAGCACATGCAACTGCAAAGAAGAAATCAAATTACCACTGTCTTCAGAGGACATGATTTTCCATGTAGAAAATTAAAGGGGGCATGAAGAAGGGAACATGAGGTAGCATTGTGGTGTGGTGAGTTAAGCTACCATCTGCAGTGCCAGCGTCCCATATGGGCACCAGCTTCAGTCCTGGCTGCTCCACTTCTGATCTCGCCCCCTGTTAACGTGCCTGGGAAAGTCCCCATACCCCTGTGGGAGATCAGATGGAGATCCTGACACCCGGCTTCGACCTTGCACAGCCCTGATCATTGCAATCATTTGGGAAGTGAATGAATGGATGAAAAGCCCCTCTCCCTGTCTTTCCATCTCTAAATCTCATATTTACATTATTAGATACATACATACATAGATTTCAAAAAGAAAAAAGATGGAAGTGCTTGGTGCCAATGCTTGGGATTTGTCCCTGTTCCATATTGGGGTACCTGAGTTTGAATCCCACCTCCCCTCCACATTCCAGCTTCCTGGGAAGGAACAAGGGTTGGCTCCCGAGGATGGCTCCCTAATAACCAAATAAGAGATCTCAATTTTTAATTCCTGGCTCCTGACTTCAGCACTGTCCTGTTATTATTGTTGTTGTTGTTGTTATTAAAGTGAGATTTACAAAGAGGAGGAGATACAGAGAGAAAGATCTGCCATCCACAGGTTCACTCCACAAACAGCCACAACAGCCAGAACTGAGCCGATCCTAAGCCAGCAGCTTCTTCTGGGCTTCCCATGTGGGTGCAGGAGTGCGAACGCTTTGGGCCATCTGCCATTGCTTTCCCAGGCCACAAGCAGGGAGCCAGGAGGGAAGTGGACCAGACAGGATATGAACTGGCACCCATATGGGATCTGGGTGCATGCAAGTTAAGGACTTTTATCACTAGGCTACTGCGCCCAGCCCCGGCCAGTCTTGTTTGTTACGGGCATTTAGGAAAGTGAACCAGTGAATAGGAGATGTCTCTTTCCATCTGTACCTCTTTGCCTTTAAATAAACATTTTTATGAGGAAAACACCAAAGATTCCATCAAAAATGATTAGAACTTAATGCATCAGAAGTTGAACTCAGCAACTGTAGCATGGTGGCTTTGGCGATGCTCGTGTGGTTGGCCTGCTTCTCGGTGGGAAGGGGGTCTGGCCCCAGGCTGAGATGGAACAGGGCATTGAGGAGCTGAGCCAGTGGCAGGCTGTGGGCAGGTCGCCCTGGATAATGAAAAATCAGTGTTCATCTTGGATTGTCTCCATTTTCTACAACTCCATTTTTGATACAACTCTTAAGATTTATTTATTTTTATTGGAAAGGCAAGATATACAGAGAGAAGGAGAGACAGAGAGGAAGATCTTTTGTCTGATGGTTCACTCCCCAAGTGGCCACAATGGCCAGAGCTGAGCCAATCCAAAGCCAGGAGCCAGGAGCGTCTTCTGGGTCTCCCATGTGGGTGCAGGGTCCCAGTGCTTTGGGCCGTCCTTCACTGCTTTCCCAGGCCAGAAGCAGGGAGATGGATGGGAAGCAGGGTTGCAGGGATTACAACCAGTGCCCTTATGGGATTCCAGTGTGTTCAAGGTGAGGATTTTAACCACTAGGCTATCATGCTGGTCCCTAATACAACGCTTGAAGCCACTTCCCACCCAGCCTTCTACAAAGATGTTGGGGGTCCCTTCTTATCTACTGAAGTACCCAGACTGAATTCAGGTGAAGTGAGGTCATAGTTTACTTTGTCATTTTCAGAGTATGGTGTGAGCTGTCATTCCCCAGCCATCCTCTCTCCTCCCTAGCCATTTTGTCAGGGAGAGTCTCCCTGTCAATCAGAAGTGATGACCTCTAAGGAGCCTCAGATGATGCCCTTAGAGCTGATTATTCTAGGATAACCATGACCTCTAGTGCTCTAGGGCTGCCCTCTCATAGGATGCTAGTCTCAGCTTCCAGTGGGATCCCAGAGATGTCCCACACCAGGGACCCAAGGTGTCCCATTCTGACCCCCCAACAGCACCTCTGACATATAAAAACTTTCCACTGAGCTGTAGTCTTCCTTCCCTCTCTAGCTCAGATGCTTCCAACGCCCTTGCTAAGAGTTCTCCATCCTGGGATACCCCTAAAGGGTTCCCTACCATTGCTACCTTTAGAGCTTAAGGAATATTTATGAGCTTATCAGTATAGCCCTCCACTTCCCCATCCCCGAGTCCACAACTGTTTCACAGAGAGAACTCCTGGGCCCAGAAAAGGGAGTCTGGGAGAAGATCCCTAGTTCCAAGGTCTTACTTCTGTCAGTATGAGAAACTATGGAAAGGCGTACACCAAGTACCAGCACAAGCATACAGGTGAGAGAGACACGTGCAAAGGGGAAGGCTACACTGGTCTTCGTTCTGATGAGCTTTGGTGACACACACAGGTGCACACCAGCTACCAACCACACACATGTGAACACTGTGGCTGACATGAGATCCGATCATTCCAGACAACACCAACGGATCCATCAGTGAGTGATAGGGTCCTCAGACCCACAGGCCAGTGACAGACCACTGGGTGATTCTGCAGCTTCAAGTCTTAGGTCAATGTCTTGTTATCCTTTTGTGCTTCTCCATTCAAATCATGTCTAGCTCAGACCAGCTTATCTCCTTGGTTAAATGTAGGTTTAGATGACAGAGAAATATTATGGAACCACTTTGAAGCCCAAATGAAACTCCAGACCTGGTCAGGATCTTCTCAAAGCCTTCAGCATCCAGGAGTTTCTGTCACCTCCATGAAGCCACCTATTCTGGCAGATGTGGATAGATGGGGAAGTAGAGAGAGGAGCTCAATGAAAAAATTCTTTGTCTCATGTCATTCCCCAGTTGGAAGCCCTTTAGTGACTTCTCTGCACTGTCTAATCCAAGCTCTTTATCCTGAATTCCCACAGTTTCCAGAGCCAGACCAAGTTGCAGTCTTGAAAGTATCACTTCCCAGCCCCATGAAGCCTGGGAGAGATCTTTAATGGCTATGTCTGTTTTGGGAAATGAGGAAAAGCAGCTTTGGACTATGTAGGGCATGCATATGTGACAGATTCTCTGTTGCATGACTCATCTGTTGCTTGCCTCTTCATCAGACAGGGATGGAGTGCTCTACCACATGGCATAGTTTCCTGAGTAACTGCTACCCTCCTGGAAGTGCAGGCAAGTGAATGCCCCTAGGCTAACATTGCACTGAAGAGAATGGAAGATAGGAGACAGGCAGGCAGATAAAGTTTACCTTCCCTTCCTTCTACAACTCTGCAAGGCACTGTTTCTCTGAAACCATATGGCCTGGGAGGAGACCTCCAGGTAGCCAACACATATGAGGGCCACCTACTGTGCTTCATCCAGGTTTGTCATGAGGCAGTGCCCAACTGGGTAATGCACCACCTGGCATTACCTCCCACGTTCCACTTCTGCTTTCCCATTTCCAATGCCCTTGGATTTGTATCTCCCAAAGAAAGCAGTCTTTTATCTCTCGTGATCTTTGTTATCCTCATAATCTTAATTACCTCTGGCACTCACCCACCAGCTACAGTGTTTAGGTTGTTTCTAGTTGAATTAGTGGTAAATGGACAGGAAGATGATAAATTGGGACTGAGCAGGACCTACAATAGCTTCCCTCTGCCCAACCTAGCTCAGGTTCTTGGATTACCAAGTACCAGATAGTCAAGGGCCTGCACTGCCTTGGTTTCCCTGGGATTGAAGGATAACTTCCTGGGCAACTCATCCAGGTAATTTATAACTTCGTTTAGGGGCTCAGCAGGCCATTTCACTGACCCGCAAGTTCATAGTGAGAAAGGAACTTGGTCAAATTACCAAGATGGAGGAATCCCATCTAGGCTCCATCTGCCCCAAAGTTGGGGTTGGTCTCTTCCCTCTAAGATGCTATTGTCCACCATTGTTGCCTGAGCCCAATTTGGCACCCTGCACTACCAGGTGATGCTCACAGAGAGATGGATCAGGTCTGGTTTGTGTATTGAGGGAACCATCTTGATGTAGGGGAGAGAAATCCACTTAGGTCCAGCGGTCATAGAAAAGAGGCAGCCCGTCCAGGAGAGTCAGACAAGCAGGTAACAAGGATCTGGTAAGAGTGGAACTTTGAGTAACTCAAAGCAGATGAATGAAGAGGGAAGAATAGTCCATGCAGAGAACAT